GTAAAAATGCCATAAATGTGAAAATAAACATAACTGCTCAAAGTGAAGTATGAATTGTAGGAAAAAAATTATTTTGCTTCATTACATGAAACATTTGACATGTTTGCAAATACACCATAAAATGTATGTGCCTGACTACAAAAATATTCAAAGTGTGTATCACACTATTTGATTTTTCTTTCTCATAATCAGAATTATATTATAAACGTAATCATATAATCTAGCTGTGTACTTACTTACTAGTCTTTGACAAGCTTAGACTTGTTTCACAAGTTTTATACACTTAATTCATAAGGAAAGTACACCTTCTAATATATCAAATTATAAAACTGAATTCCAAGTGTATTTAAAATATTTTCAGCCATAGTTTTCATCTATTTTAATTTCAAAACAACAGGTTATATATTACTTTTAAAAAAAATAATCTTTCCTTTCTAAGAATTCTCAATGAAAAAAAATTTTCACATTATTCTAATCATTCTCTTTGTTTTTATCATACCTCTATCTCTGGATTCATGCCCTTAAAAGACATCCTACCACTAACAAGTTCTTCACAAGGTCCAAAACTTGGTTCCATAATAAATTTTTTCCTGAGTTTAAGAACAAGTTTGTCAGTATAAAAATATTTCTTATTCAAAAAATACAGAAGTTCAAAGTTGTATCAATATATCAAAACATTTTAATAAAAATTGCTCCAATCAATAATTAGATCGAATGAGTACTCGACACAACCTTTTAAAAGTGTCATTATTTAAAAAAATATATGAAAAAACAGCATTTTATATATTTTTATTTGAGAACAACAAAATCCTAGGTTGAAGGCTTGTGATACAGTGTCTCAAAACACTTCATTCATAATATTAAGACTCAATCTGTTCAAATCAAAAACCTATAACTCTGCATGCCAGGCAGATGCTTTAACCAAGTAAAAAACAAGATCTTCTGAATGGCACACAAGCTTCTTATCTGTGTTATTTTAGTGTTTATCAATCTTTAATTCTTCCAAAAATGTGTAATGCTACTGTAATTTTTTGAATATAATACGCTCCCAAATATAATACGCATTAAAAAAAAAAGTCAACTTTGCCTTATCACCATAAATAATATGCACCTACATTTTTCCAATACTGCAGTCAAAGTTAATCTTTGATGACAAGAATGTTAGTGTTCGTATAATTACTAAATGCACGTTTACCATAGTGCCTATCTTTGCAATTGTGGCTGGCAAATATACATTGTCAAAACATTAGAGAATTTGAAGTTTTCATCAAAAATTATTTGTAGTTTTGAATATAATGTAGTAATAACTAGTTTTGTATTTTCAAACATTTCAAAGTGTGCATGTAACTAAATTTCAAAAATCAATACTTAGCTTTTTAATCATTATATTTCAAAAATCATGTTTAAAGATACTGAAAATGGGAGACAATTCTCATTTATACCTTAAAAACAGAGAGAATTAATAAGATGCACCATCGAAACGCAAAATTTCTAGTAAATATTCATTATCATTCACAATGTGTTGGAAAGGATGGTCTGGACTAACTGTAAAAAAAAAGTTTAGATTTGTTACCATATATTATACACACACCCTAACATCTAGATAAATAATTAGTGAAAAAAATGTGTATTATACTTGGAAAATGACAGTATATAGGATAATGTATTTCCTTAAAATTTCTACAGCTGAAAGCTTAATTCTGCACTTCAATAAACTGGATATTAAACTCTCTCTTGGCTGCATACCACAATTCAGTTCTGCTAACATCCATCTTTACATACCAATGAACTGAAACCTACAGCATTTGTTAGACCCTCTAGTAACTTACTAGCAAGCAGAGTTATGAGTTTGAATTCCAGGATTACTTGCAACTTGATTAGTTCCACTTTAATTCCATCAAACAGTTATAAGTATATATATATTAATGAAATATATTACACATTTCCCTTACAATACTTTTACATCAAATATTTTATCATACAATATACTTTACTAAATAACTAACTGGTGAAAAGAAGTTGCTTAGTGTTACACCTTATAGCCTGGAAAGGATGTTCATACAGTACAGGGCTCAACTCAAAATGTCCATGTGGTCAACAAATTATCTTTTCCCCTACAATACTTTTCTCGCATGGTTTTACAAAACCAAAAATAGACTACTCTTCTCTTAAGAGTCTAAAGTATGAGAACAAAACATCACATTTCAGTCATTACAGCTCCAATAAATGTTGAAGCACTGAATAACTGTAGCATTTATGGTGTTCTCAGAAGCTTGTAGGGTAATAGGTAATTAACTTGCCATAACACATACTTCAAAATCTTTTTGAGCTAAAATTCACTTGAATAATTTACCCTTCTTTCTTCAAATCATGTATGACATGATTTTCAAGTATAGATTTTCTTTCTTCTTCTTCAGTCTCTTTTTGAACTTTCTCCTTACTTCTCTTCATAAACTGCAAAAACAAAAGAAACCTTCATATTATATAACATATTATAACCAACATATTTTTATAATTACTCCAAGTAAAAACATGAAAGGAACAGCTTATAAATTTATAAACATATAGCCAAAAACTTAATTGATTTTACTTAAGTAGTAAAAATCAGATTAAGCTGTGAATGGAATTCTTCATGCAAAAAATATATTTTATTGGTCACTTGACTGAGATCTACAGCTGTTTTAGCAGGTTAATTAGCCTCACCATTGAACAACTTATAATGTAGTAAATATTTAATATTTAAGACAGTATATGAAAAAAAAAGCAGAAATTATAAACCAATGCATTATGACTTATTTTACACTCCACTTAACAAAAAAAGTTTTTAGTGATTCCTTTGTTCTAGTGTTAAAAAAGGTGGTGTCAGATTATCAGTTTCCTCAGCAAATCAACTAGTTGAACTGTCTGTATATGATATAGGTTAATCACACAAATAAATTATTAATGAAAATGAAACTACTAAAGGTATTAACTGATATTGTCTATAGACAAAGTACAATGATTTATTCCACGAACAAACAAAATAAACTAAAATAATATGAAATTATCATGACCCACAATAGTGGTTCATAATAGGGTTTGCCCAGAAACTATCTTAAAAAAGCAGACTTGTTCTTGAAACAACACTGAAGATTTTCTGTCTCAATGGACGAGACTGCTAAAATACTGAGAATAGCAAAAAAGTTGATTTTCTAATTGTTAGACAAAATTCATCCATTTGTTCTTCATATTATGCTTGTTTCACAAGCCTACAGAAAAAAAACGATGAATATTTTGTTCAAAACTGAGCAAACTTACTGAACAGGTCATAGGATTATTTTTCTGTTGATTCTTGAAAGAGAAGGAGAGATTTTATCAGTTTTCCATCGCTACTGAACAAGTTTCTCTTCAAAGCCATTCATGCACTGAACCCTACACCAAAAACAGCTTGGTATACTGTGCCAAAATCTATGCACTGCTATTAAACAAACTCCTGCTAAGGTTGTAGGTCTATTATTAAGTTGATTCTTGCAAGTTGAGATTTCCACCCTCTAAAATTTTCTAAGTTCTTGCTACCAACACAAGCTCTTTGAAGCCAGTTAAGCACCATTATACTAGTTGGAAATGCTCCATTTTATACTAGTCAGAAATGCTTCGTGTTATTAGAGTAAACAATGTGTTTTTTCACCCTGAAGGATTTCTCTCCACTAAAATTGATATGTATTGTAGACAAGGAATTTTGACTTGAGAAAATAATGTATACACTATTTCCAGCCTAGTTTGTTTACTTTCTTTTTAGTACCTAGTTGTAGGCTTGAAAATATAATCCTTGCATTTTTATTCAACTTGTTTCGGTACTTTTTTGATGATCCCTATTCCCCTTTTGAAATTAATAATTTTTAATTATCTTGTAATAACGTTTGAAATACACATACTTACTGTCAATTCACCATAATATACTGAGAATAGCCAAAATAGAATTTTGAACTACACTGGTAACATTATCAATTAATTCTAATATTACTGAAAAAAAAACTACTATTTTTTTCAACTCCTGGGTTTACCCTCCTGTACAAACATTTTATATCATTTTAATTTTGATGTTTAGAATTAGTTAAAATGTTTAGTAAATTTTAGCACAGCATAAATATAATGCCCTTTCAAGCACTACAACTTGGAAGTTGACTACAATATGACAGAAATTCTTGTAAAAGAAAAAAACAACAACTAGGGTTAAACAGATAATAACTAATCCTTGGTTTAACCTCCTGTACAAACATTTAAATCATTTTAATATTGATGTTTAGAATCAGTTAAAATGTTTAGTAAATTTGAGCACAGCATAAATATAAGTAAATAAGAAAGTAAAAGGTGCCCCTTTTATTATTCTTAGTAATTACTATTACATACCAAGTGGAAATTATCTTGCTTCCTTCTACTAGTTCACTGTAGGTAATTTAGTAATGGTCCCTAAAGCAACATTGTACACAAAATCGGTTACCTAAAGAGGTCAGTTGCTGTTTCTTGGGTATTTATTTATTTATCTGCTAAACATCTTTTTTAATAATATAACTTGATGTATGTGTGTAATTCCAATCATCATAAACATTAATTATATTTGTATAAACAGGTATAACATAGGCTTAAAAGAGAATTTATGACATGTTTTTAGGAAAGGCATTTTGCTCTTTGCCTGTCTTCTCAGAATTATACTTTTTATCAAATATAAACCTTTACTCTACATAAGGGAAGCATGATGCTGCTAGAGGTCGTGATTGAATTATCGAGGTATTGTAAATAAAAAGGTATGTACAGCATATTAATTCAAGTGTACAAAATCATTTATATTGATGATGTGGATACTAACTGCTGTTCATCCCTGAAATGTCCAAAGATGATAATAAATCAGTACAATATTGCATCTATATGTTCAAATACTGCAAATACTGTAGCTCGAAAGAAGCACCCCCCCCCCCAATGATTTAGTTTAGTATAGACTTGAACATTTAAATGTGCACAAGTTTTGAAAGACAAATACTTCTGCTTTACAAAAACCCTGAAATCATTGAGTCTAACAAGATGTTCAGGTAAAATTTACAATTGCAAAGCTCTGTTTTCAACAATTAAGTCAGTTGTAGAGACATTACATCAACTGTAGATTGATAGTGTATTTGACAAAGAAGCATTACAGCAGTGGCACTTAGAAAAGCTACTGATGTTTATTTTTGTCTAGTACAATTTAGCAAATTCTTTCAGAGACAGGTATGATCTCCAAATATCTTCAGACAAGTAATGAAGACTTCAGTGCAGCAGCAGAAATGACTGAGGAATGAAACTGAACAACTTTTTTCAAAAATACAAGTAGAATTTCAAGAGGAACAGAAAGCAAGAAAGGTATCAAAAAGACTGGATCACATGTGGCAAAATAAAATTGTGCTTAGTTCAAAGGATGCAATTTACATCAAATTCTATTTCATTAGCCTAGACTTATGAATTAAAAGTATCAATAAAAGATTTAGCATTGAAGCATTACCACTGCTAAAACACATTTGTAGTTTAACACCTTCTGTTGAAAAAAGATGGAAAAATGAGGCAGCTTACAAGTGTATATTTATTTTAATATTGACATTTGTTTAGATTAAATTTATATTTAGAAACTTGCATAGCTTATACTGTTAAATATGTATTGTGAAACTCCTGCCTATTTTCCAAATTTGTAGAAGATTCTCAAGAGTAAGAATCAACAATGCATGTATGTATGTAAATGCTTAAATGTAGCTTTGTATTGTTACGTAAAACTGAAATTGAGAAACTCTCCACACGACTATAAATATAACCAACATGATGTGCCAAAAAAAAAAAGAGAGTATATATTATTAGTCAGTGTACCATAAACTTGGAAGCCATAACTGTGATTGTTATAATGCTTATCAATTGGAAAACTTCAGATATTTGACCAGAAGCATTTACAAAGTTCAAACATCACAAATCATTCAACTTCAGTGGATTCACATCGGAAATTAGTATTTTTATGAAAACATTACCTAACGTCACTGGTAGGAAAACTCGGTGTGTGGCTGGTGAATAATGAAGGACAAAGCTAGCTAGCTCCCTGTTAAGTGAATTATACCTACATTAACTCATAATTAACCTGCTCATCTTAAACCCTCGATAAGATATCGAAGAAGTTCCAGACTAGAAAAAAATACTTTATATTGCTTATAAGTTTGTGAAACTTTTGTTTATAAATCATTGTT